ATTCTTCTAGGGGCCTGTAAGTTTTCAGTTCTTCCAAGGTAGAATGATCTAAGGAGAGGTGTATTTACTACTCTCCTGCCTGTACTCTGGTCTGTCAGTGACCACAAGGACTCTTTTCTGTCCTGGAACTGTGACAAGGGTCCTTGCTCCATTATGGCCATAAACTCTGGTGGGCTAGTTTGTGCTCCTCCTTGCCCTGAGACTGCCACCCAGGGCTGCAATCCAAATCTGAATATGGGCAAAGCAACAGAGTCCTGCCTCAGTGCCAGCAAAGAGACTCCTGTAATCTCCTTCTGACCAGTTGTTTGACCCCTTTACCATCTGTAGGCCCAGAGCTCTGGAAGCAGCTGCTGTTAGTGCTGATTCAGTGACTCCCAAGGCCTGATTTGCTGGGGCCATGGCCTGTGCTGGACTGTGCTCCACTTTCACCTAGATGTGACAGACCTTTCCTGCTGACCTTCTAAATTGTCTTTGGCTGGAAAATTATTTCACTCCATCCTTTTATAGGTTCTGCTGCTCTTGGAATGGTTTTATGGTATTATTTAAAGGTGTTTGAGGGGTTTTGGGGGAAGAGCTCAGGAGAGTTGACTGCCTTTTCTCTGACATCTTGTCTCCACCCATTATCATACTTTAAAATGTTGAGAACCGCTGTTCCAGTGCTTCTCATTCATTCCTTGTTTACCTGTGACTAAATTTCCATGATTGGAGTCAGTGTCAAGTTGTAGGGAAATCCATTGGGTCAGGGAACCGTTTTTTATCCTTTAAGTCTTTAACTCATTTTTAATAGAAATGTTTCTTCAACTGTGGTAGGTTGAACTCCTTAAAGGAACCACTGGTTAAGGGAAAAGAAAAGATTTAGTGTTGGATTTCTTAACTAGAGATCCATGGATAGATACCAGGGGGTCATGAATTTGGATCTTTATTTTTCTTTATCTTTATTTTCACTAACCTTTTGATTCCTTTGTAATCCTATGCATTTTATGCTTTTAAAAATAATGTTCTAAGAAGGGGCCATAGGCTTCACCAGACTGCCAAAGGGACCACCCCAACAAATAAGGGTGAGAACTCCTGACTTAATGGAACAATAACATATAAAGATGGCTCTTAGTGTCTTCTGTAGTCTGGAGTCATCAGATGGGAGAAGCCTATAGAGGTTGAGGAGTTATCACAGCACTAGGTATTAAAAAGGCTAGAACCCAGTAAGTAGGATCAGGGAGAGATCCCAGGAAAGGTATCTAGAACTCTTGTTTTAGAAAGATATCCTGGTAAGAGACTCATTGAAAGCTAGGTCAGTGAAGAGTTCTTGTTTTTATCAGGAGACCAGAAAGGAGTGTAAGTAAATGCTTTCTTCATCAAAAATGCTTTCTTCTTCATTTTTAAGTACTCATTGAGTACCCAACACTAGGGATGGAATGAGAATTTACATTAAAAGTAGAACACAGCCTTGGTACTTCAGTTTGTGGGTTTAAAAAAAATCTGAATTTAATGAATAGCAAAGCCCTCACTAAATAGAACAGAAAAAGATTGAATGTGAAAACACGAATTTCCATTAGAGCTTGCTTTTTTACCCCCTAAATATATAATAAACTATATTACTTTCAGAGCTGTCCTGTTTGTCTGTGTTTTCCTTCTGAACTTTGAGAAACTTGTGTTTTGAATGGGAGGGTAATACACATGAGATGGTATGTGGGCATTTAAGAGGGTCATTGACAAACTAGACGGAGATAAACGGAGTGGTAAGGGGACTCAAAAGCATATCATATTGAAGGAACTGAGATTTTTAGCCTGGAGAAATGAAAACTTGGAATGTGATTACTGTTTTAAGACATTTGATGGGCTGCCATGTGGAAGGAGAATTAAATTTATTCTGTATGGTTCCAGAAAGTAAAACTAAGAATAGTAACAAGGTAGAAGTTACGGAGAGGAAGATTTCAGCTTTATATCCAGAGGAAAAACCTCCTAACAAGTACAGCTTTCTGAAAGTGGAATGATTTGCTTTGTGAAGTAATACATTCTCTATCATTGGCAGTGCTCAATTAAAGACGTCAACTTTGTATTTGGACTAGATGACCTATATGGGGTGAGAGATTGAACTAGATGACCTTTCAGGTCCCTTCTAACTCTACAATTCCTTGAATAAATATGCTGAATTGTGTGATTTATTCTTATAAATTCAGCGAAAGGAGTTTCTTGATCCCTACTTCTTTCTAATGCCTCTATTCAAATTTTTTTCTGACCTTGCCTAATTTTTCTCATGTCCTTAGGTTTATGTTTGTATGATAGTTTGGTTTAATGTAAATTTGAAAGCTGGGTAGTCACAGTGCCTGGGTGGGGAAAGCCCACATCTGCTTTCTGCCCTTGGTATAGCCTTTCAGATACTAACAGTTTTATTTTAAATAAATTTTTGTTGATACTTTTTGTTTTACATCACCTTCATTTCCTAATATTCCCTTCTCTCTTCCCTACCCAGAGAGCCATACCTTAAAAAAAGAATAAAAAAGAAAGAAAAACAGTTTAGAAAAAATAATCGACACAGTCAAGTTTGACAGTGTATGCAGCGTTCCATCTCTGTAACTCTCTTTCTCTGCAGAGAGGAAGCTACATTCTCCTATCTTTTGCTTGTGTTCAAGCTTGTTCATTATAATTACTCAGTGTTCAGTTTTGATTTGGTGGGGGGTGGGGGTGGAGTTGTTATTCTTTCTGTTTACATTGTTATAGTCATTGTGCATATTATTTTCCTGACTCTTGCTTACTTCACTTTGCATCAGTCCATATAAGCCTTCCCATGCCTTGAAAACAAGTCTGTTCTCATTGCTTCTTACAATCCATTGCAAAATAGGGTTAATAAATATTCAGTCACATTTATGTACCACAATTTGTTCAGCCATTCCCTGATTGATGGTCATTGACTTTGCTTCTGGTAAAAAAAAATGCTTCTGTAAAAATGTTTTAGTGTGTATTGGAACTTTCTTCCTAACTTTGACCTTCTTGGGATATATGCCTATGTACAAATACACACACAAGTGTGATTTCCCCTCCAGAGATGTCCAAAGATAGAAAAAGAAGTGAAGTTCTCACTCTTTACTCCTTTTTCTCTCGTCATTCCTTGCCCCTCTGCTAGTGAACTCTTCAAGGGCAGGCTAGATCATGCTTGTCTGTGTCCCAAGTGGAGTATCAAAACGGGGGCATTGATGGCACTAGTCCTTGTTTACCCTGGGTGCCATCCTCTGGGGTACATCTTTCTTAGGTTGTCATCTTAGATGATATTCAGTCAGCTTACTCCTTCCTCTGCCTTCCCTCTGTCACCAGTATAGTACTTTTCTCTGTCTGGCTAATTTGAGGTCTTCCAACTAAAAATAGCCATTCCCCCTGGGCTATGGAAATCCCCAGAGCAAAAGGTAGCTACTGGTCAGTGACAGGATCCCACTACATTGTTGTAATCTTACTTGCCCCCTCCCCCTTCTATTTTACCCTGATAGAAGCCCAGTGGGGCCTGTTTCTCTGAGTTGAAGTCACCCAGGCCCAAATGAATGAAGTCTTAAACTACATAAAAAATTGGCAGAAAGTTGTCAGTGATCTTTGAAAGACTGTGGAGAATGAGAGTTATTGGAGAGGAACAGATGTAATTTTTTTTAAAAAAGAAAATAGTCTGTGGACCATAAGCTAGTGCGTTTGACTTCAATTCCTGGCAAAATTCTAGAACATGTTAAAGGGATAGTTAGTAAATTTCTAGAAGAAGAAACACTGATCAAAATGAGTCAGCATGGTTTCATCATCTGCTGTAGTAACCTTATTATTATTATTTTTGATTGGATTGGTAGATCAGCAGAATGCTTTACGAAAGGTATTGACAGGGGCAGCTAGGTGGCACAGTGGATAGAGCACTGGCCCTGAAGTCAGGAGGACCTGCCTCAGACTGAACACTTGACACTAGCTGTGTGACCCTGGCAAGTCGCTTAACCCCAATTGCCTTTAAAAAAAAAAAGGTATTGACAAAATCGTGCTTTTATGGAAGAGATAGAAGTAGGATAGATTAGTGGTGTCTAACTCAAATAGAAACGGGCTACTAAACTCTACATAAAGATCCCTGTGGACTGTATACTGACATAGAAAACCATATATTAATATTGTCTGTGTTTTATTGTATTTTAATTTATTTTGGTATTTTCCAGTTTGGTTAGCACCAAGTTCAGGGATGTTGTGGGTTGTGTGTTTGACCCCTCTGGGCTAGATGATAATACAATTAAGTGGATTCAGGTGGTTGAATGGCCAGATCCAAAGTGTCATTTTTAATGCTTCCATGTTATCTTGGAAGGAAGTCTCTGGTGGAGTGCTTAGGGATCTACATAGGGCAAAACTTTCTAACAAATAAAGCTATCTGAAATGGAATGAGCTGCCTTGGGAGATAGTGGATTCTTCTTCACTGGAGGTCTTCAAGCAAAGGCTTGATGATACCTGCTGGGTGTGTTGTAGAGGGCATTGTTCAATTAGAGATTGGATTAGATTGACCTCTGCTCTCTGTTCTAATTCCAAGATTCTGTGTTTGTGTCTGATTTTCCTTTTCTAAAAGGGAAGGGAAGGGTGGGAAGGAGAACATAGTTCACCTTGTTCAGCAGGTGTTTCTAGAGTACTTCTTTCTCTTCTCATGTTTTACTACTAATAATATTCTCTTTAAATGCATCCATCTTTTGTACTGCTCCTCCAACCTTGGATCTTTCACTGACTTTTTGTTTTTGTTTTTTTTACTGCTTTGCAGACTAGATTCTAGTTCCTTCCCTATTTCAGAAAGAGCTGAACACTGATCCTTTCCCCAGGTTATTCGGCTCCCTGGTCAGGACCCAACGCTTGCTGTTTACATTGCCCTTACTAACAATGCGGACAGAAATGCCAAGAAGGGAAGCAAGGTCTCCAGCATCACACTAACTCACCTTATTATTGCTTTAGGCTACTGCTAGAAGGAGGCAGTTAACCTGCATTGACACTTGGTTTTCCTTCTCTAGCAATTGCCCTTCCAGAGCTTCCCAACAGCAGACTGAAGCCAAGAAGGAGACCCAGGCATTTGAGTTGAGTGATTAGACCAGACACCCCCAGCTATGACCAGGTGAGACTTGTGTCATCTCCGCCACAGATTACCCTGTGGTCTTTCTGGATTATAAGTCTTCTTGCCCATGGTGGGAGGTGGCCCCCAAACCCTGCCCTTTTCCCCAGACACTTACACACAGGTGTTTGTCCCCAGTTCCCCTGTCTCTAGAGTTGTCTACAATGGCAAAAGGAATAGTAGCCCCCGGTCTCCAAGCAACAGCAGTGAGATCTTCACCCCGGCCCACGAGGAGAACGTTCGCTTCATTTATGAAGGTGAGTAATCTGACGCCTGTCTCAGGGTCCCCACCCTTGTGTGACTTTGTGACTTTTCTTTGTAAACCCTCTTCCTAACTGTTCAGTGCCTTCTAGTTCTAAAGAACAGCCTCCTGCAAAGGAGATTTTCTCTCCTTTTGTCCCCTCTTCTGTAAGGAGATCCCCTCAACATTGGAGTTACTCAGATTCTATGATGGACCTCTTATGTGCAAAGGCCTGAATTAGTTGCTGTGAGAGGATGCTAAAGAATGAACCAGAATCTGTTCACATCCACTCAGATACTTACTGACTGTGTAGCCCTAGGTGAATCATTTAACCTCTGTCTGCCTCAGTTTCATATAAAGTGGGGTTAATAATAGCACCTCCCTCCAAGAGTTGTGAGGAGAAAATAAAATCATGTTTGTAAAGCACTTGGCAAACCTTAAAGCACTGTAAAGGTGTTAGTTATTACTAAAGTGCCAAGGCACCAGAGTTACACTCTAGGTGTTAGTTTCCTTATCTGTGAAATGAAGAGATCAGACTAGGTGATCTCTGGGGTTCCCCATTATTTTTATATTCTGTGATCCTATGATATGGTTACTACCTTCAAATAGCTTACATCTAGCTAGGGAGACAGGAAACACAAGTACAACCTATAAAACATGGCAACGAGTACAGATCAATATCCTGAAAACAAAGTACATCACGGTTGAGAAGGCACAGTGAAGGATTCATTTTAGTGCCTTCCTTCAGAAGGGCTTCCTGGAAGAGGTGGGTTTTGAGAGAGATTGATTCATGGGCAGGAGGCAGTAAAAGGAGCTTTCCCTGACTTGTAATTTTAACTATTGTGACCAAGTATGTGTCAAATCTAGATAATCAGACCCCAAAGATTCATACTGCTGTCATCTTGAGCCTTGGTCCCTAACTTCTTGTTTCCCTTCCTGTGCAGCATGGCAGTGTGTGGAACGAGACCTCCGGAACCAGATGTCTGGCAGCGAGCGTGGCCTGGTGGAGGAGTATGTGGAAAAGGTCCCTAACCCCAGCCTGAAGAGTGAGTGCCCCTGGAAGGACATGGGGAGGCTACTGAGTCCTAGCTTCCCTTCTGAACTCATGAGAGCATTGGCCACTTAGATGCAGGGCTAGGAAGGAAGTACTTGAGGAAGTGCTTGCTTCCTCTTTCAGAAATCTGGTTGAAGGAGACAGACTGAATCTTCCCACAGGGGCAGCTTGGAGACTGGTTTCATACAAAACTGGGATAGAATGGATCCTAAGGTTTCCTTAGGGAAGGTGGGATTAGACAAGGGATCTTCATCAGAAACTGACATTCAACTCCCTCTGCACCCAACAGCTTTCAAACCTTTTGACTTGAGTGACCTGAAACGCCGGAACACACAAGATGCCAAGAAGTCCTAAGGGCAGTGGCCTGGTTGCCCCCTTCCTCCCCATGGCCTCTGGAAGATTGAAAGTTGCAGAATTTATGTTGGTTTTTCTCCCTTTCCTCTGGGCCCATGTCCCTGGCAGGGCAAGTAAAGAGCCATGCTCATGTTGGGCCGAGTACCTGCAAGGATGGACTTGATTGGCACTCAAGGCCCTCCCTCCCCTCTTCCTCCTTCCTTTTTCTTTAGGGAGGTTCCAAGTTGTTGCTGTGATTTGGGGGACTTGGCCCCTGTCACCACCCATCCTCTCTTCCTGTACTCTAAACCTATATGTTTCTGGAGCTGCCTAGCTCTGTCTGCCCTCCAGGCAGCCTAGAGCCCTCATTTTCCCTCTTTGGCTTTTAGATGTCAAGGCAGCTGAGCATGGCAGTCCTCCCATCTCTCCCTTTACTTCTGAGATAAGGTGGAAGGAGCAAGGGACATATGGGGGGATCTGGGACCAGTGGGAGTTGGATCGAATTGGTTCTCTAAGATGGTGAGGTTAAGTAGTGGTAACTCCATCCTCCTACAACCTGGTTCCACTATAGACATCTGCTACTGCCTATGTCTTGGGCAGGCTGGGAAGTCTCCATTCTTCCTTTCCCAGATGTCCAACTGAGGTCCTTTCCCTGCTTTCCAAACCCTGTTGGCCCCAGCTCCCTCATGCCTGGGTAGCCCTCTAGGACCCATTCCCTACAGGGTTACCAGGCAGCCATGCCAAGTCTGTCCTAGACCAGCAGCCTCTCTCCTCAGGAGCCCCAGTGGCTGCTATTGTGCCCTGGTCTATCCTATTCCCAGCTGGTAGTTTTACCGAGAGGGTTACCAGTAGTTCCCTTTTTTCTTTTTGTTACAGTTCAAGAGCTGAGTTGTTTGCCATTACTCTGTAGCCTGAGGAGCTGTAAATAAAGATGGGGTTAGGCATTTGGAATGTGCCTCTGGCTGAGTTTGTAGCCCCCTCTGTAGCCAAGCTGGTCAGCCCTGATATTGTTTCAGATGCCCACTCAATACTAGGACCTTGGGTATCAGGCCATTTTTCCTTTTAGGCCTTGGGCTGGGCAGCCGGCATGAGACCTCAACAGGTGGTAGAAAGGATCTTTTGCAACTGTATCTTATTTCTCAAGAGTGCATTGTCTTTTTTAGGACTTTGGAGTTGATAAAAATGAAATTAGAGGCTATTGGCAAGATCATGAGAATCCAGATGTTGTGAGATGTCAGTGTCTATGATATATATGCTGAAAGAGTCTGTGCTTCCCAGCAGAGGAGTTATGAAATCTTTTCTGCTCCCACGATACTTATTGACTAGACTTTTCATTAGAAGGTACTGAATCTGGGATCGTCCTCTCTTGGTCAGTAGTGACCCCTGCTTTGGCTAAAACACTGGCAAGAATGGGGAAGGACTCCTTACAGTGGTACCAGCTTCACTATTAAACCCAATTTGGTTTCTGTGATTGTTTCATCCCCTCCTAACCCAGCCTGACCTCATTTAGTTTAGGAGAAAAATCTCCACTCCTTATGGGGTATGGTGCCACTGGAGAGGGAACAGTAACTTTCCTGTGTGTTTGGGCTGGACCTCAGAGATTTGCTGGAAGAGAACCAACAAAGTTCTAGTCAGAAAATCTGTCCCTTCTGACATCTTTTCTTTGACTTTAGTCGAGAAACCTGTGGCCGGGAAGCAGTACCCAATCTGAGGTTTGAGTCTTCAGATTGTCATTAGGTTGACCTAGAAACATCTCCTTCATTTTGGTCTGTCCAGACATGAAACATTCCTCCTGTCTCAGGCAATTGAATTCAAACAGGAATTCTCTCTGAAGATTTATTTCAGGAATGCCCTTTCCCGGAATAGTCTCCTCGGCCTTCAGTGGCATCTCAGGCAGTATCAATGCAGTCACCTTCCCCCAAGCTTAGGCTGACAGCTGGAGCTCTCTGTGTGCCCTGCCCAGAATCCCAGCTCCCACTCTGTGGCCACCCTTGCTGTCAGGCATGGCTAGCCGCAGGGAAGGGAGGGACTGAGAACATGGAGGGGGGAAATTTGGACTCCAGGCTGCCCTGGGGATATTGGGATCAGATGGTGACACAGTCTAAGAAAACTGGATTCTTAGAAGCTGGAATTAGTCTTTTGTACTTAATACTGATTATTGGGATCATAGAGCTGGAAAGGACTTTAGAGATCTTCTCATGAAATAGATGGGAAGCTGAGGCCCAGAGCAGGGAGGGAGGCAATGTATCCAAGATCATTGAATGAGTTAATGGCACAGTCAAGACTAGAACCCAGGCCTCTTGACTGCTAATCCAGCATCCTTTCTACTCACCGAGTAATTGTCAGATTGGTTTGGTTTCCTGACACCAGACTCTGGAGAACAGAGGCAACTGCAACCTGGAGGCCTCTCCTGACCATCAGCCTGGTACTCATGACAGCTCCTTTCCTGTCCATGGACAACACTGGATCCTCAGGGTTCCTTTTACTCACTTTCTCTGCTAAACTTTCACCAAGTCCTTTGAAGCACTTGGCAGCAATGAGACACAGTTTCTCCACTCCTGAACGTTTGACTGCTGTATACTGCCGAAGAATGTCCTAAACAAGGGATTGAATATTGTCAGTTCAAAGAATATGTTGATATTCCAACTCACTATGGTTAGAACTGACTTAATAGATGCTAAAAAGCAACAACTTCAGTTTAGGTAATGGTTCAATAAAAAAAAATAAAGTTTAGCAAAAAAAAAAGAATGTGGTTCATTTCAGTTTAGGGGTTAACAGTTAGGTGTAGGTCAAGGTCTTATGTAGAACTGAGCTGACCCTGGTCTCTACAGATTAAGGACCAGTGTTAACAATTTTCCACCATTTGGTCAATCACTGATTCCCATATCTGTCATCTTCAACCTTTACTCATAGCTGATGATTGCCATTGATTGAGAATTAAAAACCTCAGGTATAAGATATTAGTTAGTCTGATGGTATGATTCAATTCAATTCAACAAATAAGTATCCACTCCGTGACAAGCATTGTGCTAGTTACTACAGATACAAAGACAAAAATGAAATATTCTCTGCCTTCAAATAGCTTACTTTCTGCTGGGGAGGTAACAGCATGTATACACATAAAATACAAATACTTTGAGGAGAGAGTACTCTAAGGAGATTAGGAAAAGTTTTGTGTAGGAGATGGTATCTGGGCTGAGCCTCACTGGGATCCAGAGAGTTTAAGAGGTAGAAGTGATCTGAGAGTACGTTTGCTGGTTTTTTATTCATGTCAGGCCCTTTAACCTTGGGTGTCCCCGTCACTCTGTCCCAGAGTCCCTTCCTCTTTTCTATCCTATCTTGATGATCTCATTGGCTTCTCTCCCTCACCCCCATCAGTTATCTCTATAAAGCTGATTCCCATGTCTACGTATCCTGTAGGCATCTCTAAGTCAACATATTCCACATCTTTGCCCCAACCCTTCCCTCTTCTGAACTTTGTATTATTGTTGAGGGCACTACCATACTCCCAGCCTCAAAATTTCTGTGTCATTCTCTACGTATTCTAATTCACAACACATCCATTTGGTTACTAAATCTGGTCATTTCTATCTTTCCAACATCTCTCCTGTACATCCCCCAAACTCCAGGAGTTTGGTATCTTCTCATCTCTTGACTGTGTTATCACAGTAACTTTCAAATTAGTCTGCCTGCCTCAAATCTTTCCTCACTCTTAATACATATTTTCAGTTGCTGAAGAGATTTTCCTAAATTGTAGGTCTAATCATGTTACCACCTTACTCAGTAAACTCCAAGGGCTCTCTATTACCACTAGGATCAAATATAAAACTGTTTTATGTTTAATGCTTTTCTTAATCTGGCCCTTCCTATTTTTTCAAGTTTTTTTTTTAAAAGCTTTTACAAAAAGTTTATTTATTGAGAAGATAAGGCAAGAACAGGAAGACAAACATATCCTCCTCAATTAGGGGCACCCCACATCCCCACCACCACCTCAGCTCCTGGGGGGCAGTGGGTTCACACTAGCGTTAGTTACTTCAAAGTATTTGTTCCACCAACATGGCTTCCAGAGTGGGAGGTGAGAAGACAGAGCATTCTAAGCACAGGGAACAGCCAATGCCAAGGCACGGAGATGGGAGACAGAACATAACGTGTGTGAGGAACGGTAATTAGGCCACTGTAGCTGGATTGTGGAGTAGTTGGGAGTGTAGTATAAGAAAACTGGAAAGGTTCTTTCCTGCTTGGCTGCCTTCAAGTAAGGAGGTGAGGACAGTTGGAAGCCTTAATCCTACCCTGATCAACATAAAGCCAGGGGCACACAGCCCTGCTGCTCTGTACCTGTTGTGTCTACTATTCTTTCCCGCCTTAAGCGAAGGAACACTAGAAATGGAATGGACTAGGTTACAACTTTGTGAGCTTCAAAGGCCTTGCAGTCTTAGCTCAAGTCCCACCTTCTGCAGGAGCCTTCTCCCTATCCCCCCAGCTGCTAGTTCTGAGATTGCTTCCCATCTACTCTTTTATTTATTTCCATATCGTTTCCACCTATTAAAATGTAAGCTCCCTGAGGACAGGAACTTTTTTTTTTAACCTTTATTTGTATCTCCAGTGCTGAGCATAGTGTTTGACATATTGTAAATGCTTAATAAATGCTTTTGGATTGACTGATTCCAGGCAAGGGGCTGGTGAATACAAAGGTATGAAGGTAGGAGATGGAATATTGAGTTCAGAGAACTGCTAATAGACCAGTTTGGCTGGAACATAGAATGTGTGTATAGGAGTAGTCTGAAGTGTTGGAAAGGTAGGTGGGAGCTAGTAGAGGGCTTTCCATTCCTGGCTGAAGATTGTACTTTACCCTAGAGGCAATGGGAAGCCACTAAAGATCTTTGATCAGTGGAATAACATGTTCGGACTTCATTGTATTTAATTTTTAGACTGTATGGTAGATAGATTAGAGAAGGGACAGACCTGGAACTGAAAGCTGGAAGATCAATTAGGAGACTTTTGTAGTAGTCCAAGTCAGAGGTAATGAATGCCCGAGTGAGGATGGCGGCCATGTCAGTGGACAGAAGGACACTAATGCAAGAGATGCGGTAGTAAAATAGATATGAGAGGAGAGGGAAGAATAAAGAATGACTCCAAAGCCTGTGAGCCCCAGGCACTGAAAGGATAGTAGTAGTATCAGTGGAAATAGGGATATTTGAAGGAGAGGTTGAATTCTGGGAGAATATATAATTCCTAGTGCAACTAGTTGGCACAGTGGATAGAATGGGCCTGGACTCAGGAAGACTCATCTTGCTGAATTCAAATCTGGCCTCAGACATTTACTAGCTGTGTGACCTTGGGTAAGTCTTAACCTTGTTGGCCTCAGTTTCCTCATCTGTAAAATGAGCTGGAGAAGGAAATGGTAAACCGCTCCAGCATCTTTGCAAAGAAAACCCAAAATGGGGTCATGAAGAGTTGCACATGACTGAAAAACGACTGAACGAGTATAATTCCATTTAGGACATATTGAATTTGTGGTGCTTATGGCACATTTGGGTGGTGAGATGTCTGGGATATTGGTTTGGGAGCTATGCACAGAATGGTAATGATTGAATCCATGGGAACTGCTTTGCTCACCCAGAGAGAGGAGAGGGTCTAGGAACAAAGAGACATGTGCAGACTTACTGGGTTAGTGATGGATGATGATGATCCAGTGAAGGTGAATGATGAGGGTAGGGGGAGAATCAAAAGTAGTATCACGAAAGCCAAGGGAGAGGAGAGTAACCAGGGAAAGGGGACGGTCAAAATGTGCCAAAATCTATGAAGAGGTCAAGAAGTACGAGAACAGAAAAGACCCCTGGATTTGGCGATTAGGAAATTATTGGTAACCCTGGGAAGAGCAGTTTCAGTAGGAACTCAGATGAGTACAGACATACCTCAGAGATATTTTGGGTTTAGGCCCATACCACCGCAATAAAGCAAATATCACTATGATGCAAGACACATAAATTTTTTCAGTTTCCCAGTGCATGTAAAAGTTATGTTTATACTATACTGTCATCTAATAAGTGTGCAATAGTATTATGTCTAAAAATTCAATAATTTAAAAATAGTTAAATTTAATTAAAATACTTTAAAAACATTTATTGCTGAAAAATGCTAACCATCATCTGAGCCTTCAGCGAGTCATAATCTTTTTGCTGATGGAGGGTCAGCCTCTGTGTTGATGGCTGCTGATTGATCAGGGTGGTGGTTACTGGAGGTGGGGGTGGCTGTGGCAATTTCTTAAAATAAGACAGCGATGAAGTTTGCCTCCTTGACTGACTCTTCCTTTCACAAAGAGTACATGCGATGTTGTTTGATAGCATTTTACCCACAGTAAAACTTTTCTCAATATTGGAATCAATCCTCTCAAACCCTGCCACTGCTTTATCAACTAAGTTTATGGAATATTTTTCAGTATTGTTGTGTCTCCCATCAAAATGAGAGGTAGCTGACAGAGAATTGGACGTCTAGTTAAAGTCCCTCTCTTACTTGCTGTGTGACATGAGCTACATCACAACCTCTCTGAGCCTGTGCCCTACTCTAAAAAAATAACCATGCCAGACCTATCTACCCCACTAGGGTTGTGAGGGCCAAATGAGATAATATGTAAACAGTGCTTTGTAAATTCCAAAATACTATATCAAGACAAGCTATTATTTATATATAAACCTTAAGCCTTATCAGTTTATCTTCTGCCCTCCCAAATGATTATCCCAAATTTCCTCCAGGCTAATCTCGTTGTACCTTCTTCTGTCTGAACCACAGTCACTCTGGCCACCCCATACTTTCTGACAGTGTTGTTTACGAAGCACTTTAAGGTTTGCAAAACACTTTACAAATATTATTTAATTTTATTCTCGTAACAACCCTGGGAGGTAGGTGCTATTATTGTCCCCATTTTCTAGGTTAGGAAACTGAGGCCCAGAGAGGTTAAGTGACCTCTATGACCCTATGGGTCAAGATTTTATGTTAAAAGCATAAATGTGGGTCCTTGAATATTTTTAAATGTTAGAAGGGGGAAAAGGGTGGGTGGGTGGAGGAAAGGGCAGAGAAGAAGGTGGTTGTCAAAAAATGTATTGTGGCATAATGGATAGAGCCCTGGGTCTGGAGTCAGAAGGACCTGAGTTCAAGACTGGCCTCAGACACTTCCTAGCTGTGTGACCCTGGCCAAGTCACTTAACCTCTGTCTGCCTCAGTTTCTTTATCTACAAAATGGGGATAGTAGTAGTACCTACTTCCCATGGTGGTTGTGAAAATAAAATTAAATAATCCTTGTAAAGTATTTTGCCAGCCTTAAAGAGCTATGTAAATACTAGCAAGCTAGTGGTCAGCTGAGTTGATAGTGCCAGAGTATGGTTTGAAAAAATAAAAAGGTACAGAGAGATTGGCCTGGAGGAAAACCTATGATATGCTGAAGTTCACAAATAGCCTTAGTTGAAGGGTAGAGGATTTAATAAATGGTTTCCCTGAGCTTTGGAAATGAATCAGACTTCTTTGGGGCTTGAAAGGACCTGATTCACATCAGAAGTAAAGAGAAAGGGAGTTTAGAACAGCTTTGCCACCCATTACTAGCCATGTAACCTTCCCCTTCCCGTGCCTCAGTTTCCTCATCTGTAAAATGAAGGAGTTGGACTGGAGGCTTTCTAAAGGTCATTTCAGCTTTAGCATTGTGTTATTTAGATGTAACCCATGGCCCAGGGCCCTTAGAATGCTCTGGTCTTTCA